TGGGGGGCGGCAGCGGTACCAGATGGGGCACAGGACGGACAGGCAGCACTCGGTGCTAATGGCGCTGAGCATGCTCAGACCTGCAATGTAGGAGGAGATTGTCACAGTCATGAAGACGATGTGGTAGATGGCGGTGGGAAAGAAGATGGTCATGAGTTTCAGCAAGGAATATACAACATAGGTGCAGAGTAAGAGGAAGTCGGCCCCGGCCAGGTTGAGGACGTGGACGGTGAAGGCATTTCGACGCATGCAGAAGCCCAGGAGCCAGAGCACAACTGCATTTCCTGCCAGCCCAGTCAGGCCAATAATGACGGTCAACAAGTTGAAGATCCAGGTCTTCATGTCAGAAGTCGGAGGAAAGTCCTGGTCATTTCCATTCGTTGGTGTGAATGTCACCCCCCAGGTTGGGATGGTTGATTTCATGCTCAGGAACTCTGCACTGGTGACCCTGGGAACAGGAACAAGAGTTGAGCCCCTGCTGTATGATCACTGATGGTCAGAACCAACCTGCTACATGGGAAGTACTGCCCCTTCATACAGGGGAGGGGAATGGAGGCTGTGGAGGTTATATTGATCAAAGGCAGGGAATTCTGAAACCTGGATTTAGGTTTAGTTCTCCCGGACTCTAACCCTGTAGTGCTCTCTCTACTACAACAGGAGTGTCTCTAAAGACCCCAAATTTTCAGTAATGCAACCATAGACCCCACACCCATCCAACACACTGTCTAGAGGTTATGTCATATCCCCAGAACTTCCTAACGAGAGAGGAGAAAAGACTGGGGAAGGATCCATCTTAGAACTATGGGTCCACCATTGTTGAATGGGGCTGTTTCTCAAGTTGCAGGGACCAGGACTTGAGAAATGTAAGAGGCAGTCAGCCACGTGACATTCAGCCACCTTAACCACCACGTCACTGGTTGGCCCAAGAGAACCATGTTTTAAGGGCATGAGGGGACAACGGGAGATCATTTGGTGTTAAAACATTACAAGTGCCAAGGAGGAAAATACTGAATTACTACTAGGAATTAATCTTAGGAATAGTTGATAATACAGGTTTACAGTTCCTACCTGTGGTTTTTAGTTTGTTGTTTTGGGGTTCTTTTTTAGTACAAAAGGTTTAAATTTATAGTTGTGTGCATTGCTTTTGTGTGCTTTTTCTATGAATATTCAGAAAATAATTAAACATTCACTTTTTCTTAGTAAAAAAGGACATGGGGAGAATGTGACTTCTTGCTAGGGCAGGTGTGAGGA